ATATATATATATATATATATATATATGTTCCACCACAAAGTGTCATACGTGTGTGGATGTTTGCTCAGTGTTGGAATTATGTTGGATTTTTGATGGAAGAAATAAAAGCGATACATGGATAAATTGTTCAGCTGGTAATTTAGGTGTTTATTTTTCCAGGTAACAATCAATCATCTGCTACCAGAAGCTGCAGAACCACAGGGTTTGAATCTGGAGGGAATTTTGTTTTATCATTGTTGCAAGCAAAGATATTTTTTAAATGAAAAATGTAATAATATGCAATCCAGAAATGAAACTTTGAAAAACTTGTTAATAAAAAAAAAAACAGTTTTCCAATATTTGTTTTTTATTTTTGCTTTTTCTAATGTCTATTTTTCAGATTTAGATTTATTATTTATTTGATAGAGTACATTAATAAGCATTACTGCAAATGCAACAGAATTAGCCAAAAAGCTATTTTTCATCTGTTGTCCCTGGACACATCTTAAAATTGTCGACCTAAAAACACAGCATTAAGAATTTTACAGTGAAAAACACAAGATTATGAATTGTTTTCTTTTCAAACTGCATTTTTATAGATTTCTGTTCATTTCAGAGGGGCAGGTTTTCCTCTGGAGTGAGCAGTGAAGATGGATTTAAATTGGTCTTTATTAGATGTTAAAAACATTTATTGGACTTGAATTGAAGGGGGTGTGATCATTAAATGCAATTTGAAAATAATACAATTCTGAAAACCTGTCTTGAAAAAGAGATATTTGAATATATAAAATAAAAAAAAAATGCAATTTGAAAAAAATTTTAAAGACTAAAACATGAAACAAGAAAACAATCAAGTTATCATCAAAACCTAGTAATTGTGAACATTTTAAATGTTTAATTATTGAATTGCATTCTTGCTTGGAACAAGAACAGAACACAATTCACTTCATATTTAAAGACCCCACTTGTCTGCCGACATATTGATCCCAAAGTGGCAAAGGTGGGACATGTGGAGCCATTAAGTCATCTCTATCTCTCTGATTTTTTTTCTGCACAGCCGCTGAACCAGGTGAGTCCAATCTGCACAATTTAACTCAAGAATAGCCGTTTACTCTCCCACCATTAGCTTTTTTTAGAATGCCTCTTGGGGCTTCTGAATATCAATGAATGAGACTTTTCAGGATGTTTTTACTATAGAAATAAGCAATATATGTATTGTTTTGGTTTAAAATCACAAGCATGGCCTGCTTTCTGTCTACCTTACAATCCCAATAAAATGAAGACAAGATATGGAAATTCTCAAATTGAATACACGTTTTTTGCACATTTAATACAAACTCAGATCCCTTCTTTAACCTTCTTTATCATGGTTTTAAAGTTATTATACAAACTGCATCACAGTCTTATAAAAGGAACTGTGTCTATGAGCTGTTTTTCAGCAGCACATCTTTGGATGTCAGGATTATGATGATAAATACTTCTCTCTAACAGGGGAGTAGCTGCACAGAAACAGGCATGAGACCTGGCTTTGGCTGGAAAATGTGACTGTTTATAGAATCAGAGGCACTTGTTATACTGCTGTGTTTGTCTCCCCATTTTCCAGAGGCATAACTTTTCCAAGGCTACAACCCTGCAAAATGTTTGATGTGTTTCCTGCTGGGATGTGTGATACAGACCAAAACTCCAACATGTCTTATGGGTCTTTTACTCTTCTAGGCTTCTTGCCGTGAATAAATTTGAAAGATTTAAGGTTGTTTGGCTGACGTATGGGTACACTTCTCACAGCTCACCGGAGACTCTGGGCTGCAGCTCCTCCCAGCCGCCGTCTTCCTCCACCTCTTCTCTCTCCTGCAGACCCCAGGCCTCCTGCTCTAACACTCTGTCCGCCTTGTTCGCACAAGCCCGTGGAGAATTCTGGGTCTCCACATAGTCCATTTCTTTCTCCACCAAGTCCATCCGAGCAGAAGCTCCTTCCAGCTCTTTAAACATGGCGCTCTGGTCACTCCTTATCCCAACCATGGTCTCTGTGGTTAGCTTTTTAAAATCCAGCATCTCTGTGTGGTATTGATGGGCTTGTTGATGCCACAGATGCATGCGGTCCTGTAAGTAAGGAGGAAAGCACCAAAAATGTTAGATCGCCCTGCAGGGTGGAGCTTTTTCTCCTTTTTTTGTGAACTTTGTTTAGATTTTTACCGTGTGTCAGTCTGACAATCAAGCTAGTTGGTTTACATTAACAGACAAAGGATTTGCCTCTCATTAACGTCTTGCCATTTTTTAACCCATATCCTCAGTGGCAGTAT